CTTTTAGATGCATATAAGGAACATTTGATGCATATGTAGAACGTTTGATGAATTTGAGGAACATTTAGATGCATATGAGGAAATCACGGCTCAATGGCACTTGTGCAACGGCAGAGCGTGGAGGCAACGTAGTTTCACTGAGCAAGGCACGGACCAGGAACGACCTCACCCAACTCGAGGTCGTGGTTCCAACAAGATTCATGCTCGACAAACCGCTGATAAAGCTGTTTAGCCCCTAAGGCATTAATTTACCTTTAAAATTTTGATTGACATCAATTGCCATCGGTTTACACTAAAACTGCCGTGGTGAATAACGACGTATATCATTACATGGCGTTTTACACTGTGTTTCCAGAAGCTGGACTTCACGGTTATGGTTCAACATGCAACGAGTTGGGAATGGTATGCCAGAACATTTTGAGGTTCTCAGATCTGCAAATAGCATTGGTGAAGCAATACTCAAGTAATTAATTAATGATAACAGTTTGTAGCCAGTGCACCTATCTCTTGGAACTTCCGCTGGAAGACACACCATGTACTGCAAGCACCACGACGGACATTATTAATAATGCATCGCATGGCGCATTTATAATAAAATACTAAGACGAGAGCGTGATACTCTCTTAGCAGCGAAATTGAGTGATGTGTACGTTTCTCAATCTGGGAAAATCAATATTAACACAAGTGATAAGGCCACATTTTCACTTAATGATTGATTATTACAATAATGACCAGAAATTATGGAATCGTTTTGACGTTGGCCATGATATCGTGTATTTGGACTCGATTGCACAATTTTGTTTTAAAATCACCGGGTACGATTGGCTCATGACCAATAGCCTTGATTTCAGGTTTCCTACGGCTACATTCGACTGCCGGACCACACAAATCCACCAAGGGCGCAGTTCCTTCCATCCGGCCTCAAAGCGACTTTGAAGGGACTTCGCTACAACGCCGGCTCCGGTCCGATGCTCGTGATGGATCGAAGGACGGTCAAAATCTACGGACTTAGGTTCGATGGCAACAAGGCACCAGGTATGGTTGCAATCCAGTTGTCTTTAGACGTTCAGGCTGTTTCATGCGTACTCCTAAGATGCAGTTTTCACTGTGAATTGTCTCACGAATAGCGTATTGGCACTGTTGTCTTAGGGGTCTGTTTTGAAGTCCAGAGGTGTCGGGTTCGATTCCACTAGAGGACAATCTTTGCCTTATTGACGAATTCCTTTGAGCAAGGAAGTTACTGCACATTGTTTCACACGGGAGTCAGTCGGTAGAGCGTTGAGCTCAGAAGGAGTCCCAAGTCTGTCGACCCAACTTTAAGAGGATACGGCATTTCTGGCAGATGGCGTAGAAACGGCAATCAGCACCGTACCATCAACCTCATGAA